GCCGAGCAGCTGGAGCACCACAGAGGTTTACGGAAGCGTCATTTCCAGCTGCAACACATGTGAGGGACGCAACGGAATACGGAACCCACCACTGGATCGTGGAGTCTTAGTGGACAACCAGCTAAATGGGAGCCAGCAGTGTGAGGCCAACGCAATCCTAAGCTCCATTAACAGAGAGAGACAATCAAGATTGGGTACTAATACCACTCTGTAAAGCCTTAGTAAGACCACACCTAGAATACAACACAGTTTTGGTCCCCACAATATAAAAAGAAGATGTTGAGACTCTAGAAAGAGTGCAGAGAAGAAGCAATGGGTGTAAATTACTCAAGGAGAGAAGCAACTTAGAACTGAGGAGAACTGACAGAACAATTAATCAGTGGAACAGAAGTTGCCTCCAGAAGTTGTGAATGCCCCAACACTGGAAGTCTTTAAGAAGATGTTGGATAGCCATTTGTCTGAAACGGTGTAGGGTTTCCTGCCTAAGCAGGGGGTTGGACTAGAAGACAGAGGGATACAATCAAGATCAAGGGAGGTACTAATGCCACTCTGCAAAGCCTTAGTAAGGCCACACCTAGAGTACTACATCCAATTTTGGTCCCCACACTATAAAACAAGATGTTGAGACTCTAGAAAGAGTGAAGAGAAGAGCAACCAGGATGATGAGGGGACGGGAGGCTCAAACATACGATGAACGGTTGCAGGAACTGGGCTTGGCCAGTCTAGAGAAAATAAGGGCCAGGGGAGATAGGATATCAGTCTTCCAATATCTGAGGGGCTGCCCCAGGGGCGGGGGGGGCAGTGTCAAGGTATTTCCCAAAGCACCCAAAGGCCAGAGAAGGAAGAATGGATGGAGAGATTCAACCTGGAAATAAGGAGAATTTTTCTGACTGTGAGAACCATCCACCCATGGAACAGAAGTTGTGGGAGCTTCATCAGTGGAGGCTTTCAAGAAGAGACGGCACTGCCGTCTGTCAGAAATGGTGTAGGGCCTCCTGCTTGGGGGGGGGGTGTTGGACTAGATGACCTCCAAGGTCCCTTCCAACTCTGTTAATCTGTAAGATCTACAGAGCACCCAAACCTGTTATAGAAGTGTTTGGCCCCGCCAGTGATGAGGGAGGAAGACTGGAAGGCGGGGGGGGGGGTAGTCTTCAGGATCGGCCCCCTGGGGACACACCCTTCAACCCAGGCTTAGCTTGGTGGGCGGTGGGAGTTTCATCCTGGGACCCTCCGGATCGAGGGCGAGACTAGACTGGCTCCGCCTTCCTCCTTCCAACGTGCAGGTGATTGTGGAGAACGGAGAGCTGATCATGGGCATCCTGTGCAAGAAGTCGCTGGGCACCTCAGCCGGCTCCCTGGTCCACATCTCCTACCTGGAGATGGGCCATGACGTCACCCGCTTGTTCTACAGCAACATCCAGACCGTCATCAACAACTGGCTGCTGATTGAAGGTGAGGCTGGTGGGGGGGGGGGTGCAGGGATTTTGCCCCCTCCCCCCAAACGCTGGGGAAGCCTTCGGGAAAAGTAGGCGGAGGGTCCTGGTGTTTGGTTCCTCAGAAAAGAGCGCTGGGTTTTTTTTGGGGTGGTGGTGGTCAGCAAAGCCACAGGGAGGGATCAGCAGGTGTCTTCATATCACGTGGGATATTTTGCTGAAAACCCAAAATCATTTTATCTATCTTTCTATCCTCTAATTCATTATCTATTTGCTATCTGTCCATCTGCCTACCGGTCTATCTGTCTTTATCCAGCTGCTGTCTGTCTCTTTCTACCTACCTGTCTGTCTGTCTATATGTCTGTCTCTTTATTTCGATCTCTTTCAATTTCTATCTATTCCATCTATCGTCTAATTCAATATCTATCTACCTACTACCTGTCTACTATTTGTCTACCTACCTGTCTGTTTTATCTATCTATCTATCTATCTATCTATCTATCTATCTATCTATCTATCTATCTATCTATCTATCTATCTATCTATCTATCTCT